GTGGAGCCCCGGCCTCTGCCCCCCATCCCGCAGCTCTGAAGGTGCAGGAAGCACTCGTGGAAGCCCGGGATGCCCCTGAGCACCCCAAAAGGCAGCCCTCACCTGATCGCAGTTCCTCTGCGACTGCAGGTGCGTCTGGAGGCGGCGCAGCAGGGGGACGCCGTTGCGGGACTGCCTCTTCAGCGTCCAGTAGCTGTGCAGCCGCTGCATGAACTGGCTCTTCCTCTGGATGGTTAGACGGTTGGTGATCTTGCTGAGCCTGAGGAAGGGACACAAACCACAGAGCCCGTCAGCGGGGAAAATCTGGCTGCTGCAGAAGCCTCCGCCGGGGAAAGGTGGCAGCGAGGCCACCCGTGAGCTCCTCGGAGCCTTGTACAGGGCAGGAATCCCTGCGTGCCCACGGCGTGCGGGGCACAGCACCCCCGAGGAGGCCAGCAGAAGGCACTCAGCCCCCCCTCTCCTGCACACGCTTTTCCTTCCTCCCCCCGCCACCTCTCGGGCGTGAGCACGGGGCCGGCTGCGCCAGGCTGGGCTGCGAGATGGGGCTGTCAGCAGCTGGGCCTTCGGCAGCTCCCCGCGGCCCCCGCACGGCCCCGATTCACCCGGCTCATTATGCTGGCACCGAGAGGCCACCCAAGATGACAAAGGCCCCATTCAGCCGGCACCAGACAAGCGGCGGAGCCCCCAGGAGCCTGTGGTGTGAACAGGCCCGAGGAGGGGAGGGCAGGCTCGAGGAGAACAGAGCTTGCTGTTGGAGATAATGAAGGGCTACCCCAAACAGCCCAGACACCAAACAAAAGGGGTTTTCCTGCTCCACAATGGCAGGGAGCCTGAAGGGACTGGGACAGCCCCTTCCACCAGGGCTGGCAAGATCCCTGCAGCTGGGGGGAGAGGAAAGGGCCCCGTGCCTCCACGTCCCGCAGGGCCAGCGTGGGGTGACCCCACCTGCATCAGCCCCAGCCGAGAGCAGCCCCATTTGCCATCGCTGGCCACGCTCGGCTCCTGCAGGAAGGCATTTGGCATTCTGGCGGCGGCCCTCGAAGATTAATTAATCCCAACAGGAAGGCCTGGGGTGAGGTTAACAGCTTCCATCTCAGTGTGGGCTCGCTGCGAGCGCGCCAGCAGCAGGCAGAGCCTCCAGCCAGCCTGCCAGCGCAGCCACACAGGGGAGGAGAGGCGCTGCTTGGAGAGCAAACCCCGGGCGAGCGAGGCTACCACACGGTTAGCACACGAGCAGGCGGTGGCACGAAGCCATCAGCCCTGCAGCAGCGAACCTGCCCGTGCACGTTGCCAGAACTCCTCCTGCCGAGCGAAGCCGCGGCGCCCACCCCCTGCCCTCCTGCCCCACGGGAGCCCCCTGAAGGCCTGGAGGGTGCTGAGCTCCTTTTGGGGGGTGGCCCCACACCCCGACGGCTGCGCTCAGGTGCTGACGTTAAACCGGCAGTGTCTATTTCCTGCCCTCCTCCACGGGGCTGCGCACCTCAGCGCCTCTCCACAAGGCCGCCAGAGGAAACCACGAGCAGCCCTGGGGAAGGAGGTGAAAAGCCCGGTGTGAAAACAGCAGCGCCCATGTGCTGAGCAGGACGGAGACACCGAGAGAGAGAGAAACTGCCCCGCAGCTCGGGGAGGGCAGCGGGAGGTACCTGTGGGGGGGGATGCAGGGGACAGAAACCACGGGTGCCGCCGCTCGCTTCTCCGCCAGGATCTTGCGCGCCTTCTTCATTTTGATCCTGGACTTGGCCTTGGCCTTTTTCACCTTCTCGGAGCTCCAGCTCTTGCCCTCCTCCTCCTCCTCCTCATCCTCCTCCTCCCCTTCGCTGTGGGACAGCGCGGGGAGCCTGCGCACGGAGCCCGGGGGCGTGTGGATATCGCAGTAGGCGGTTTTGCGCACGCTGAAGGAGGTGCCGTTGGCTCCCGTCTCGCGGACGGGCTCCATCTTCATGTAGAGCCCGGCCTGCTGGGCGCAGGTGACGTGGAACGCGGTGTAGCAGTTGGCCTTGTGACACTGGATGCAAGCCCCGGAGCCGCGCTGCTTGCAGATGTAGCAGGTGAGCTTCCAGCGGGCGGGCGGGATGTGCTCGATGCTGTCGATGGGCTCCAGGAAGACCGTGTTGGCGAAGCACACCTCGGGGATCCAGAGGGCGCACACCACGTGAGCCCAGCGCCCGTCGTCCGTCTGCTTGAAGGCGCCGCCCTTGTTGGGGCACAGGGCGCAGTCCACGGCCCGCGAGGGCGACTGCAGGCACCTCCTGCAGAGCCACTGTCCCTCGGGGATGTAGGGCACCCCGTAGCACTCCTGGTGCACGGCCAGGTTGCACATGTCGCAGAAGAGGATGACGTTGCTGTTCTGGCACTCGCCGTCGTTGCAGATGCAGCACACGGCGTCCTCGTCCACCAGGGCGTTGGGGTCGCCCTTGTTGTGGCTCTCGAAGTAGGATTCCTTCTCCAGCCTGTCCATCAGGTACTCGAAGATCTCCTGGGGGATGGGGCTGACGCCTTCCGTCTTCCGCCGCTCGTTCATGATGTCCAGCCAGATGTAGTCCTCCTCGTCCATGTCGTACTCCACCTCCTCGTCCAGCTCCTCCGCCGACTTCTCGATGTACCTGGAGGGGGGCAGCAGCACAGGGTGAGGGCACGGCCAGTGAGGGAACATTTACACGTTCCAGGAAAAACACCAGAGGGGCATGCAGGAGCAGGGGGTGGCACCGCCCCCCGAGCAGCGTGGCAACCACAGCGCCCTTGGCACAGGGCAGCTGGGCGTTCAGACAGGATAACGAGCCAAGGGCCTTGGAGACTCATCAGTGCAAGGAGCCTCCAAGCAGGTACCAGGTGCTCTGGGGACAGCGACCTCGTTCCCAAGGCACAGCAGCACCGGCCCTGCTGGCAAACAGGCCCAGAAGGCGCAGGGTTTCCCTAAATCCGGCCACCTGCCCGCTGCCAGCTGGGGGTGAGGGGAGGATTTGTAGGGAAACGAACTGGGAGCCCCCGTTTTGCTCCAGCAGCTGGCACACAGCATCACACCAACCACGCTGTGGGGAGCTCGCTCCCTTTTCACACAGATTTGCTGTTCTGTGACGCCGGGTTCTCGGGCAGCGCGGTGGCTGGGAGCGCAGAGGCGGCCGTGGGGGTGTTATTTTGGTGCTCAGCGAGCTCCCTGCGTGTTTTGGGGCACTGAGCTTACCCAACCTGCACGGGGCACGGCGCTACCACAACCTATTGGGCAACGAGGTTACGTTCAGCCTGCAGACACACATCCTACAGCCAAACCTCGGTGCTGGGGGGGCTCCAGCTGTGCCTGGGGGGTGCCTGAAGAAGGCAGAAGGATGCTTTCCTTTGTAGGGTCGTATAGCGAGGAATACATGGCATGAGCAGGCTGCTGGCGAGTGGCTATGGAGTGACCAAGAGCCCTGCAGGCACCAGGGCCCCCCAAAAGCAGCGAGTTGTGAGTCTGGAGCCACAGCCAGTTCCCACAGCATGTGTGGACACCAACCTCCCCCCACCCACCCCCAGGAGCCGCACAACCTCCCTGGGAGCCCGGTGCCCGGAGCCCAGAGCCCATCTCCTTGCCCGTACCTGTAGTAGGAGGTGGGTCTCGGCGGGGCGTCGGGGGTGTCCTGCTCCAGCTCTCGGTACACCACCTCGGGCAGCTTGGGGGCTGCACCAGCCGAGGCGTTGTGGTGGTGGTGGTGGTGGTGGTGGTGGTTGGCGTCCTTGCGCTTCTCCTTGTTCTTGTGCTTGCCCGCCTTGGGCGCCGTGGCGGCGGCTGCAGCAGAGGCGGCGGAGGCGGCAGCAGCAGCGGCAGCAGCAGCGGGCTGCCCCTCGGCGTTCTCCTTATTACTCCCGTTATCGGGCGCCTCCTCGGGGCCCTCCTCATCCTCGGACACCACGTCCAGGTTGTCGAAGATGCTGATGCGGTGCACGCGGCCGTGCAGGTCCACCTCCACCATGCGCTGGGCCTGCGCGTAGGTCAGCACCTCGCGGCCGGGGGACTGCGAAGGCTCGGAGGGGCTGGGGGAGCGCTTGTTGGCGGCCCGGGCCTGCCTGCCTTTCTTCTTGTGCTTCCGCGGCGGGGCGTGAGGCGGCGGCGGCGGCGGCGGGTGGTCGTGGTCATAGTGGTAGAGGTGGTACTCGATGCCGCTGTAGCTCTTGTAGATCTTGCGGCACGAGCCCACCGGGCACTCGTAGGGCGGCTTGGTGGCCCGCAGGTTGTGGCAGAACGTCTTCACGTCGAAGTCCACGCCCATGGCGGACACCCCGCCGCCTCACACCGCCCCCCCCCCCCCCCCTCCCTCAAGCCCCCCGCCGCCGGGGCCGGGCCGCAACAATGGAGGCGGCGGCGGCGGCGCCAGGCGCGGGGCGGCCGCTGGGTAAAGCGGGCGGAGGCAGCGAGGAAGCACTTTCGGCACGGCCGAGGGGAGGAGGGGAGGGGAAAAAATGGGAAATGGGGGTAAAGAGGGGGGAGGGGGGGAGAACGGAGTGGGGAAAGGGAGAGGAGGTGGGGGAAGGGGTGAGTGGGATTTTTTTGGGGTGATGCGCGCGTTATGGGGGGGGAGAGGGGTGAGGCGAATCTGCGGGAGGAGGGGTTGTGGGGAGGGGGGCGGGGGGAGGCGCGCGGCGGGCACCGGGAGGGACGGGGCGGGGAGGGGAGGGGAGGGGGCACCGGGACGGGACCGCACGGGGAGCACCGGGACGGCAGGGACGGGACACAGCGGCACCGGGACACACCGGGACCGGCACCGGGGCGGGATCCTACGGGAAACACCGGGACGGGACCTCCCGGGACCGGCACCGGGGCGGGGCTGGCACCGGGACACACCGGGACCCATAGGGACCCATAGGGAACCACCGGGACCCACCGGGATGAGGCTGAACGGGGCTCCCGGAGCAGCACCGGGACCCACCGGCACCACCACCGGCACCGGGACCGGGACCGGGACCCCCCGGGGCAGCACCGGGACCCCCCCCCCCGAGCCCCCCCTTCCCGGTGCAGCAGGCCGCAGGCCGGTTGCAGCGCTTTATTTACAGCCGGTACCGCCGGGACAGCCCCGCCGCCACCCCACCGGGAGCTGCGGGGTCCCCGCGGAGCCAGGCAGCCCCACACCGGGACCCCCCCCCCTCCCCCGGTGCCCACCGACCCCCCGGTGCAGGGGGCTACTGGGGGTCGGTGCGGCGCGGTTTGATGTCGCGGGTCTTCATGTAGGACAGGAGCTGCTCGGGGATCTCGGCCAGCACGTCCTTGGCCAGGCGCGCCATGCTCAGCACCTGGTTGCCCGAGTCGTCCACGTAGTCCCGGAACGGCACGAACTGCGGGAGGAGGCGGCGGGCACGGCCGGGAAACGGCCCCCCGAGCCCTGCCCCATAGCAAAGGACACGGCCCCACGGGGCCCCACGGCACGGGACACGGCCCCATGGCACAGGACAGGGCCCCACGGCCACCCCGTGCCACCGTCCGTGCCCGCAGGAGGCTGCTCCAGGGCACGAGGGCAGCGTGTGCCCGACCCCGTGCCCCCACCACCCCGTGCCCATCTCCCCCCCGACCCCGTTACCTGCACGATGTCCCTCTCAGCGTAGCGTCCCCGCGAGGACACCCGCACCTCGTCGCCGTCCAGCTCCTCCATGGCTGGGGGCAGCGCCGCTCAGCGCCCCGCCTGCGGGCAGTGCCCGCGTCCCCCGGCCCCGTCCCTTCCTCCGGGACGCCCCCGGTGCCCCCAGCCCCGCTCACCGTCGAATTCAGCCGGCCCCACTCCCACGATGATGATGGACATGGGCAGTGCTGAAGCCTGCGGGGTGGAGGGGAGGGGCAGCGGGGGCAGCACCCTGAGAATTTGGGGTGCTTGGGATCCGGTGGCACGGCCACAGGGCGCACTCACGGTGACGATGGCCTCCTTGGTCTGCAGCATGTCGGAGATGACGCCGTCGGTGATGATGAGGAGGACGTGGTACTGGGAGCCGTCCGTCACCTGGGCGGCCGTCCTGCGGGCACAGGGGGGACGGGATCCCTGCAGCAGCCGTCCCCGTGTCACCTCGCCGCTTGGGGTGTTGGGGACAGCCCCGTGGTGCTCACCCGGCCACCTGGTTGATGACGGGGGCGAAGTTGGTGGGCCCGTAGAGCTGCACGGTGCGCAGGCTCTGCAGGTAGGACTCGAGCACGCCCTCGATGCCGTTGCAGCTGGGGTTGTCCTCGTTGTTGTTCTGGGGGACGGGACGGGCGCTCGGGGTGGGGGCACGGCTCCCCGCTCCCTCCCACGGCTGCGGGGCTGGGCTGGGCACGTCCCCAACCCAGGGGCTGCCCCCCTGCCCGGGATTTGTGCCTTCACCCCCAGCCCTGCCCCGTGGCATGGTGCTGGAGCTCCCCAAGACCCCCAAAGCGCACCAGGGGGAACTGGTGGGAGATCTTTCCATCGGGCGGCAGCTTGGCCCCGAAGCCGTAGGCGGGGAAGAGCTTGTCGCTGTCGTAGTCCTGGATGATCTCCCCGACGGCCTTGAGCGCCAGGGCGTAGGCGCTGAGCTGGTAGGGGCTGGCGTAGTGCAGCGAGGTGGGCTGCGACGGCATCCCTGCGGCACAGCGCCCGTCGGCACCGCCCTGCCGCCGCCGCCGTTGCCCCCCCGGGCAGCCCCCTCCCGGCCGCCGCGCTCACCGTTGGAGGCCGTGAAGTCGATGGCGACGGTGAAATTCAGCTGTGTCCTTGGAGGGAGAGCGAGGGAGGCTGCCGGCCCCACGGCACGGTGCGGCCTCTACCCGTGCCCCCCCCAGCCCCATCGCTTGGCCCCACGCCCCCACCGGCGCCCGCAGCTGCCAGCTCGGCACCCCCAGGTGCCCTGGGTGTCTCGGGGGGACCCCCGGCCCCACTCACCCGCCTCGGATGTAGTCAACGAAGGTGAACTCGGACTCGACGGAGAAGGAGAGCAGAGTCACCTGCGGGCACACGGGGGGGTCAGGGCCAGGCCCCCGCCGCAGGCAGGAGCCCTAAAAGCGCCCCAGCCCCACTCACGGTGCCGGAGTTGACGTATTTCTTCTTCTTGCACTTCTTCCTAGGGTTCAGCACCTGTGGGCACGGGCAGGTCCCACTGTGGGGCTCCCAGCACCCCTGGAACCGCCCCCCCAGCCGTGCCCCCCGTACCTCATACACCGTGAACTGGCTCTGTGCTCGGGACAGCTCCCGGTAGCTGGTGGCGAACTCCCCGATGAAGTCGTGGCTGCGGGGGGAGCGCGGGGGCCGCGTGTGGCACGGGGCGAGGGGCACCCCGACGCCCGTCCCTGCCCCCGGGGGCACGGCCTCACCTCCCGTCCCGGTCCCAGTCGTACACGTCGATCTTCACCGTGCTGGGAGCAAAGAGGGGCTCAGGGGGAGCCTCCGGCACGGCTCCGGGGGGCCGTGGGGACACCCTGCCCGTGGCACCCGGGGCTCGGCGTGCCAGCGCCGTCAGAGCCGCACCGCGTGCCCGGCCCGCAGCTCTGCGGGGAGGGGAGCGGGGAAATTTGGGTCACGGCAGGGCTCTGGGGAAGGGGGGGAAGCTTTTATGTAATTTGGGTTGCAAAAGAGGGAAGGAAAAAACACAATAAGGACCCAATTCGGAGCTGCCTGCTGCTGCTAGTGGGGCTACACCTGCTGGGGAGGTGCTCACACCCTGCCCTGGCCCCACGGCACCGTCCCCGTCCCCTCACCAGGTCCCCAGCCCCTCACCGGGTCCCCAGCCCCTCACCGGTCATAGTCCCCGTTGCAGAGGGCGCGCACGGGGATGGTGAAGGGCTGCCACACCGGGTTGAGCGTGTTCTTCACCACCTCCGTCTTGTGGCAGATGGTGAAGCTGCGGGGACAGGGCAGGGTCAGGGCGCGCCGTGCATTGACCCGGGTGCCCCCGCGGCCCCGTGCTCACGTGCCGTCCTCGTTGCTGCGGTAGAAGACGAGGAAAGGGTCGGATTTCCCAAAAAAGTCCTTCTTGTCCAGCTTGTTGGCGCACAGCTGCATGGTGACGATGTCCTGGGGACGAGGACTGTCACCTCAGGCCGGCTCCTCGCCCCGTGCCCCAAAAATGCCAGCGCTCACCCTGCAGTTGCTCAGCTCCTCGGCCAGCAGCAGGATGGTCCCGCACCGCTTCCCCGGGACCCCCCTGCGACAAGAGGCCAGCGTGGGGACGCTGAGGACAGGATGGGGCAGGACGCGGGGTGCTCTGCGTGACCCCATGGTGCTGGTGCCTTCCCCCTTGTGGCAGCGGGGCTGTGGGGGGGGTCCCCAGGTGGGGCGGGTGGCCGGGGGCACGGTGTGGGACCCCCAGCCCCACCGCGGGGTGCGACTCACGTGAGGGCTCTCTCCAGGCGGCCCCGCTGGGACCCGATCACCTCCCCCAGCGCCACGAACGCCTGCCCCAGGAAGTCCTGCGCCCCGAGCAGAGGGTGTTAAACCTGGGGGCTCCTGCTCGCAGCCCCCCCAGACCCTCAATGTCCCCAACCTGCCACTGCCCTGCCCCACGGCCACCCACCCTGTGCTGCAGGAGCCACCCCAGCCCAGGACGCATCCTGCACAGCCAGGATCACCCCATGCACACACTCCACGTGCCCTGGACCCATCACGTCCCCCACCAGAACTGTTCCACGTCCTCTGGTCTCATCCTGCACCCCACAGCCACCACACATCCCCCGAGGGACCGATTTCCCAGCGTGGCAGACACCTACCTTCTGCCAGTCCCGATGCGGCATGGAGAGACGAAGAGCGGGGTGAGCCCCCCGAGGCCAGGGGTGCCTGTCCCACCCAGGAGCCCCCTCAGGGGCACAGCCTTGGGGTGCCTCCGCCCCCAGCAGCTCCCACCACGCCGGGGCATCTCCCCGTGTCCCCCGGCCCCGCGGCGCTCACCTGCTTGTAGATGGAGCAGCTCTTGGAGTCCACGTTGTAGCTGCCGGTGGCAAAGCAGAGCCGTGAGCTGGTACCCAGACACGTCCCCACGTCCCCACCTGGCACTCGGGGACCCCCGCAGACCCCATGCTCCATTTCCAACCCCTCGGCCCCTCCGCGCTGTGACAATTTTTATTGCTTCGGTGCTTTGTCACGGTGACCCACGGGGGCTCAGCACCCCTGCCCCGCTCTCCCCGTGGCTGTGGAAGCACTCACACATCGAAGCGGAGGTTTTGCTTCTCCTCGAAGTAGTAATCGAGGACAAACTTGCGGACGAAGTCGGGGTTGAGGGTGTTGTCGATCACCTCGGTGCGCCCAAACTGCGGAGAGAGGGGTGAGGGCGGCCCCGTGCCCGCCATCCCTCCCCACGGCAGCTGCCCCAGCACTAATCCCCGCGGGGATTAGCAGCGAGGAGGGATCATTAGCGTGGAAGTCGGTGGCCATATGGGCCCATTTAACCGAGCCGGGGATTAGCCAGGAGCGGGCATGCTGGGGGCTGCAGCACCCCTGGCGTGGGGTAGGGGGGAACAAGGTGAGAGACGCGGCGCTCACCTCCTTCCACTCGCTGCTCCCCGCGCCCTGCACGAAGAGGACGACCACTGCGGAGAGAGGAGCGGAGCCGTGCCGTGCCCTGCCACGCTGCGCTCACACCACCGGCAGCACACCCCGGCCACCCACCTGGGTCAGATTTGGAGAAGGTGTCCATGTCCAGCAGGTTCCTGGGGGGACGGAGCCAGGCGTGAGCGGCCACGCGCTCGCTGGGTGTCAGCACCCAACCTGCTGGGGGTCCCCGTGTCCTCCCCGGGCTGGGTTTTTGGGGGATGGCCCCAATCGAGAGGGCAGTGCTGGTGCTTTGGGGCCAAAAGCCCCAGCACCCGTGGGACACGGGCAGGAGGCTGGGTGGAAGGAGCCCATCGGGACGGCGAGGAGCAGCGTCTCCAGCGCTGACAGTGATTGAACATGACAGAAACCCATTTACAGGACGAAACCTTCCCCGGTGCTGCCGGCGACGGCTGAGCACCCGCTGCACCCCGGTTGTGGGAGTGCAGCTAATGGAGAGCGCAGAAGTGAGAAGAAAGCAGACACTTAGCAGGGGCCGGGCAGCCCGCGGGGGCCAGCCCGCACCACCCCACGGCTCCCCCAGCGCAGCAGAAGCCGGAGCACTTTGATCGCTGCCGTTGTTGTGCTTTGACACCGGGGAGAGCCGGGGGCTGCGAGCGGCTCTGCTGGGATCCTTCCTGCGCCCCGGTGCTCAGCCAGCTGCCCTGGCCCAAGTGGAAAGGGCTGGGGGGCAGAGAGAAGCCCCCACCAGGCTGTGCAGGCAGTCCTGGATGGAGCTGAGCCCTCGGGGGGCTGCAAAGCTGGGGCCAGGCTGTGCCCCCACAGCCCCTCCGCCTGCTGCCCAGTGGGGCCGGCAGGGAGGGAGGGGGCTCAGCCGGGACCCTCAGAGCATCCACAGGGAAGGGGCACAGAAGCCCCCAGCCCAAACGTGGTCCGGAGCTGGCAAGAAGGACCTCGGGGCCACAGCGGGCAGGGCGGTTGATGGGGGCAGAGGCCTTCCCTTGCCCCCCAGCACAGGGGACGCCCCCGGTGCCGGTCCCCGGGGGCAGGACCCCCGCGCGGGGCTGTACGCGGCCACAGCAGCCGCCGCTCGCCCCGAGGCACCGAGCACCAAACACCCCGGGGCTGCGGGCACCGGGCAGGGCGCAGCCGGGCTCCCGGTCCCGGTACGGAGCCCCGGGCAGCTCCGGGAGCACCGGAGAGGAGCGGGCGCAGGACGCGGGGCTCCCGGCGCATCCCCCCCCCTCCGGCCCCGCCGCTCCCACCCGCCGCCGAGCCGCCCCGCTCCCGGCTCACCGGCAGGACACGGTGAGCTCCACCTTGGTGCCGGGCACGCTGCCGGCCGCCGGTTCCAGCGCTCCCGGAGACGCCATCCCCGTGCGGGCGCCGCCGCTGCTCCGCGCCGCCTCCTCCCGCGCCGCCGAGGCGGGCGCGCCCGGGGGCGGGCACGGGCACGGCGGCCCCGGCCCCGGCGGCAGCGCCGCCCCGGTGAACGGGGGGCTCGGCCCCGGGCCCCGGCACGGAGAGGAACCGGAGGGGGGGGACGGACGCCCGGTGGGCGCCGCGGTTCGGCCCCGCCGGGAGCCCCCCGCCGCGGGTCGCGCCCCGGGGGATGCTCGGTGCCGGCTCCCGTCCCGTCGGGGCTCCACGTCTGGAGGCGCGGGCTCGGTGCTATTTCGGTGCCGCCGCTCGCGGAGCGTGGGCCGGGCTATTTATAACCAGCGGCGCCCCCGCCGGAGCCGCTCCCGGCGCCCGGCTCCCCCGCGCCGCCGCCGCCGCCGCCCCCCGGCTCTGCCCGCCTCCCCCCCGCCCGCAGCCCAGACACGGAGAGGCGGAGGGGCTGCAGAGATGGCTTTACTGCACCGGGGGCCTCGGAGCCCCCCCGCTGCTCCCCCAGCCCCACGCAAGGGTGGCCGTGAGCCGGAGCTCGGCGTGGGGGCCGGCGTGTCCCCAAGGACGGGGGTCCCGGCTCGTCCCGGGGACCCCCGGGTCTCCTCCAGCCAGCGGTCGGTCCAGGAGCCGGGCACTCAGAGCGTGCTGCTGCCTCTCAGTCCCACGCCCCGCACGAACTGCTCCAGGAGCCCCCCGATGGCCCCCGAGGGGCTGGGGGGCACGGCCTTGAGGCCGATGGTGCGGCTGTAGCTGGCCAGGAAGGAGGAACGCACTTCTTCCAGCCGGGACTCGCGGTCGCTCGCCGACACCAGCCTAGGAGACAGAACGGGGAGGTCAGCGCCGGCGGGCACCCCGCTAACAGCCCCTCACCCGGGGCTGCACGAGGTGGCAGGGTTTGGGCTCTGCCCCTGGATCCCGCAGGGAAGGGATCCCCTGGTGCTGCCACTCCCTTGCTGGGCAGCTCTCCCCTGGTCTCCTACTCCACCACCACCCCACTCCTCACCATGCGTTCATACAGAAATTGTTGCTTTGGCCCCACAGGTGCAGGCTGACATCAGCCCCCTCGTGCCAGCTGGGCACTCACTTCCACCCCACTTGCACTCGTCCCTTCTTTCCCAGCCTCTTGCTGCCCCTGTGGGCACGTGGAGAGCTTTGAGACAGCAAGAAGGTGCCAAAAACCAGGGCAGAGACGTGTTAGCACTGCCCACGGGCAGGATGCAGCCTGCAGAGGATGGCACCGTGTCCCCCAGGCCCCGCTCTCCTCTCCAGCTGGGCTGTGCACCTGGCTTGGTGCTCCGAGAGGGGCAGGAAGGCGAGGTGTCCACCGAGGGAGCAGCAGAAGGCGAGGCAGCCCTTCAGAGGCAGCCCAAACCCGGCCTCGCTGCACGCCTCCGCACCGTGCCCACGGCCCCTGGGGAGAGGAAGGCGTTCCTCAAAGGTCGCCCCAAGGGCACAGCGCGAGCCTCCCCGTCAGAAATTCTCTTTCATCTCCCCAGCGCCCGGGCCCGGCTATAAATTGGCACAGCTAATTTGAACGGGAGCGTTAACCACCCACAGCCAGCAGCTCCAGTCCGGAAACGGCAGCGAGAGGATGCGGTGGGAGGGCTGTAAACAGCGAGCGGGGCTGCGGCAGGCAGCACGGCCCGTGTTTACAGCGCCTGATAATAAGGAGAAGCCAGAGGGCAAAGTAGAAAGGCAACGTCTCCAAACACAGAAAAAAAAGGATGCTTTTTGGTAAGCTAATTAGAAGGCAGAGCTCACCAACCTGCGAGTATTAAAAATAAGCTGCAGGAAAGCAGGGCTGGCTGGCGTGCCCAGCTCAGCGATCGCAAATGGCAGGCGCAGAGGTGAGAGAGGTAAGCGAGAGCAGGCAGTGGAATTAGGTCCTGCAGCTCCTGGTTTTCACACCTCTGCCCAGGGCAGGCTGTGTGCTCAGACAGCTTCTTTCAGAGAGTGAGAGACTGGAAGGCGCGGGTTTGGCCAGCTGGCTGCTGCCAGCCCCCGACAGCTCAGGGCCACCTCGGTGCCGAGGTCCAAGAGCAAAGCCAGGCACGTGTCCTGGCCAAAAACCCCTTGCCCTGCCCTGCTGCACAGCCCCTGGCGGGGGGCACAGGACCAGAGGAGATGGCCAGAGCCCCAGCTCCATGAGAACCCTGAGAAGCCCCACACAAGCACAGGGAAGCAGGGTGCAAGAAGCGCACCTTCACCCCAGACTGCTGTTCAGCTGGAACTGAATCTCTAAAATCTCACCGATGGGCAGAGCAGAGAGAAGAAGCCCTGGGTCAGGCTTGGCACGAGATCCTTGTGTTCCCCTCCAAGCAGCAGCCTGCTCCTGAGCCCTGCAGCCAAGCAGTCCCCAGCCCACGAGCACAGCACCCCGCAGCGAAGAGCTGAGCAGGGCAAAGCACCCGCAGCACCTGCTGCACGCCCCAGGGAGAAGCAGCACCGCCGTCCCCTCCTTTTGAACCTGGCTGACTCCAAGCTAGAAGAGCCCACAGGCAGCTTCAGTGCTGCAGAGCCCAACTTCAGTTGCACATCTCTGCCACAATTCCCTGTCCTGGCGTTAGCTCCAGCTCCAAGAAGGGTGGCAACGACTCTCGGTGCTGAGCAGCAGCCACCTAGCACAGCCAGGCTCAGGGGACAGCAAGGCAGTCACTGCTTCAGCCACATGCTCTTCGGTCCCTTCTGATTCCCCAGACAGCCGCAGGAGCAGTGCAGCGTGTCCCAAAGCAGCAGGGAGAATCATCACCCAGCCAAGCCGTGCCCAACATCCCCAGTGATTCCCCACCCAGCCAATTCACGGGTCTTCTAAATTCACCATCACTCGGGGAAGCAGCTCTGCTCTGCTCTGCAGGACAGCCCGCAGCCCCAGCTAGCTAGCGGCCGGCCCTCAGCTGCCATTTCAGCTCCGTGATTGAGAGCTTGCAGCCTGAAGGCACACGCCGAGGTTCTCCTCTCACAGCAATTAAAGCTCAGCTCCCGTCTTTCTGCAGAGGTGACTTTCAGCCTGGGGAGGGAGGTGTGCCTCCCAGCACAGCACCGTGCAGCAGGACGCGGGGGCTCTGCTGCCCAGGCAGGGTGCAGCGCCTGCAAATGCCGCTGCTGCATGGGGTCAGATGGAATAAAAGCCCCTCTCCCACCGCAGCAAGGCTCTGAACCCAGCAGGGAGATGTAGAAGATCCAAAAGCAAGAAGGGCTGGGCCACCGGTCCTGCCCCGACAAGCGCGCATCCTCAGCTGCACCAGATTTATGCCCAAATTCGCTGTTTTGGGGGAAAGAGAGAGAAAGACCTCGTGCAGAAAGCAGCTTGGCAGAGAAGAAGCCGGTTTCTTTCACAGTCCAGCACAACCAGAGCGCGCTCGGTGCCAGAATTTCTCAGTGACAGAATTTGCAGATGGAAAGCGTCAAGGCAGCAGAGACGGGACAGCTTGTTACGGGCTCCCAGGCTTCTTCGAAAGCAGCAGGGTGACAAAGCTCCAGCGCTCGCCGACAGCCCCCAGGGGACGGATCCTGCGTTTGAGACACTTACAGGCAAGTGCTAGGGAACTCATCCGGGAAGCTGCAAGGGAGAGAGGCGTCCGCGCTCAGGTTCGCCTGCTCCCGAATGCTGCCACACCCTGTCACCATCTGCCAGCTGCCAAAGTCTGTGGAAACGGAAGATCCGGGCAGGGAATGGTCGGCCGATCTGGGGCAGAGAGAGAGGGAGACGCTGCAGTCAGTCGGGTCGCTCAGCCACACGCCTTCCCCTAACGCCGCTGCCAGGGACGCGCGGGGACGGCTGCCAGCAGCGCCCGTGCCAGCGGCTCTGACGCCGTGGGACCAGGGCGCAGCGTGCAGCTCGGCCCCCGGCCAAGCCTTTCCTTTGAAAGCGCGGGGAGAGCCGGGCTGGCCGGGGCAGACAAAGCAGCAGAAGTGCCCCCGGGGCCGGACAGGACAAAGCCAGCGAGAAGCAGGTGGCCATGCAGGACAGTGAGACCCGTCAGCGAGGTGCGGCGGCCCCAAATCCCTCAGAGATGCGGACGCAGCGCTGCACAGGGGACATCCACCTGGAGCTCATTTCAGCTCCCAGGGTGACGGCGAATTGTTACTGCGACTGGGCTGCTGCTGAGGGAGATTCAGAGATCCTTGGTCCGCAGCCCTTAGAGAGGAGGTCAGTCCCAAGGCCCCGCCAGCAGCTCTGAGCAGAGCTGGTCGCTGCCCCTCGGGCACCTGCAGGCTTTTCCAGCCCCGTGGCAGAAGGGTGGGCTGTGCCAGCAGCCCGGTGGCAAAACATCTTTAGGGTAAGAAAAACAGCCAGGGGGGAGGTAATTGTTTGCAGTACGTAACCTCCTGCCAGGAAAGGAGGGAGCACGAAATCTGACAAGCAAACCTGAGGCGTCCCTCCAAAATCCCCCAGGAGCAGGCACAAGCGCTCGAGACGAACCCGGAGCTCTCGGCTTTGGGGGAGCGAGCAATTACTGTGCCCGTCTGCACAGCAGAGTGTACATTGCTGCAAGCACAGCCAGTGGCAGAGATACTCAATTACACACTCCCAAGATCTTCTGGATAATTTATCTGAGATCTGCCGGGCAGCGAGCAGTGCGAGAGCTCCAGCTCCAGCTCCGCCGGGCCAGGTACTCGCACGCCGTCTCGGCAGCTAAGAATAGCAGTGGCGCACTGCAGCTGCTCCCCGAGAGACCAGGGCAACGGCGAGGAATGCAGGATCTCCCGCAGCCAGGAGGGCCTCAGCAAGACCGGTGTGAGAGGGGGAATGCACAGGGGGAAAGCTGTTTGTGCTCCGGATCTAATCCCCAGCCTGGCATTTAAGCAGGCTGATCAATACGAGCCCCAGAGGTCAGCAATAGGGCCCCGAGGTGGATGCAGACAGCAGGGGCAGTCCCACAGCTCGCTGTCTGTGAGTTCAGGCTCCAGCAAGGCATCGCAGCAGGAACTGGAAGAGCTGAGCCTTGCACAGCCCCCGTCCTGAGGCTGCCGGGTGAACCCAGCAAGGCTCAGAGGGGGGCTGCGAGCGTCGGCCACTGGGGAGGACACTAGAGCATGTAGGAATGAGGGCACTTCCCACCTTGGAAGTGGAACAGTAGAACACACTGTCAGAGATCAGGCAGGGCTAAGCTTCCCTGGAACATGAAGAATTCATAAAGGAAATGGAGCAGTTTTTCACTGACATCTCCCCTCTCCTTGCCTTTGCAAGACGAAGCAGAGGAGAGCAGGCAGAGCACTTGGGGCCCAGAGCACAGCGCGACGCTGGAAGCACAGCAGGAACAGTGCAGAAAGCCAGGGAGAAGCACACGAGGACTGGAGGAACACTGCTTCAGCACACAGGCAAGAGGAGGCTCTCACCTCCCCTGAGAGGGCTGCACAGCCAGACAGGAAAAATAGGAACAGTTTGGCTACACGCGCGGTGCCCAGAATTTGAGCTAAAGCAGTGAAGAGGTCTACGGGCAAGAGAGAAAACAGACACGGACAGCGTTACCATCAGGACAGTAATGAGTTGCCAAACAGGACAGGCCTGGGGACAGGTTAAAAAAAAAAAAGGCTGTGAAGATGGCAAGCCTGGGCAGCAGGAACAGGTGGAGATGGGCTTGGGTACGAAGGATTTCCAGGTGTAGATGAAGAGAGCCGCACAGAGCTCTGCAGCACTCCTGAAGGGAGGGAGTAGCATCAGGGGGTGCCAAGGAGACTGCTCACATGGCAAACAAAGGAGCAAGATGTGATCCAGGGCTCAGGGACAGCAGAAGTGTCATTGCCCAGTATCAATCACACCGGGCAGGTGAGTCTGTGACAAATTTTTCCTCCTTTGGGTGTGTGGCCCCAGCTCCCAGCTGCTGGCTCACCTTCCCTGGCTGTCAGCTGAGACCACACCAATCTTACACCACCGCCAAGAGGTGCATCAAGTCACCTCTTGGATCTGTTCTTTGACAGGCAAGGAACAGGGGGGATATGATGAAAGCATCACATCCCTCCTACAAGATGGACTTGGTGGTTCGGCAGCCCTCTAACCCTTCTGGGGTCCCCGTCTCCACCACGCAGCTGTGCAAACCTGACAGCACAGCCCCCAGAAATTGCCTGACCGAGCCCATCAGTGCCCAACTGCCCGACAGCACGCGCTGCTTCGTCCCCCCCTTCACTTCGTCCTCCCCTCCGTGCTGCTCCGGGCAGCTCCGAATTCATCAAGCTCCATCTAACCTCACAGCACAGGAGCCCAGGAGATCAAGTCAGCTGATTCTGCCTCTCACCTCCCTGCAGCAGAATAAACACTTGATGATTAATTGAATAAACTGATCGGCTGTGCACTGAGGCCAGGTTTTCTCTCCTGGCCTTAACAGCTGAGCCCAGCCAGAGATACAACACCATGGCAGCCTTTCTCTATCCCCCTTTGCGTCTCAAGGGAGGCTCCTGGGGAAGTGTCACAAGCAACAAGCACCCTGAACAGCCCCAGAAGACAGCAGGGGCTGGGTGAGAGGGGCAGGGAAGACAGTGCCAGAGGTGAAAATGTCCCTGGTATTTCTGCCCCTGAAGTCTCCTGGTAAAACCTTGCTGCTGAGGCCCAAAAAGGGTTTTGCTGATGCCCCAGTGTGAGCTGTGGGTGCTGGGGCCCCAGGCCTGTAGGGCCAACAGGTCTGCAACGCATTACGGCCGTGCCAGAGGCCGGCTAGCCGGGGGGCAGAGCAAAGCAGCCAGGTGACTATGGCAAAGCTGACAGGGTTGGGAACAGGGAGATACAGCAAGGCTTCAAGTTGCCGTATCTGCCACAGACATCTAACGGCAGACAGAAAGAGAATGAAAGTGAGCTTCACACACCCACCTCTTCAGGTCCGTGAGTGGGAAGAAACTCCCTCAAAAGTGCAAAATTAACAGAATTAGATTAACAAAACAGAGATGAGCTGCAAGCTGTTCCTTCACACGAGGAAGGACCTTTAGCGGGCCGCAAACTGGCAATTCCTCGCCTGGAACGGTTCCTTGTAATTAGGTCAGCGCTTCCCATGCAACATGCTGCACGGAATGGAGCCTCTCCGAGCCCACGGCCACCCGCTTACCGGAGGAGAGCCAACACCGGAGGCACAGCGACGAGCGGGGATCCTTCCGTGCCCGAATACGTAAGCGAGACGAGCGCCAAGTGCCCAGCAGCTCGGCTCTCCTCCTGCCCCAGCTCACCTGCCCCGTTCCTACACACCCGGGGCTGTTTGGGAGGCATTTGGGCAGCAGCTCATTTGCCAGCACGCGCTCTGCGCCTCGAAACCAAGTGTTAAGAAGGCACCGTGCGCACGGGCGGGCTGGGGCAGCCTGAGCAGAGGGCAGCCGGTCCCTCCTGTGCGTGGGAGCAGTTGGCGAGGAGCGCCTGGCACCGACGGCCCTGGCTGGATCCCAGCCCGCTGGCTGTGGGCTGTGCTGTGCCCTAACAGCCCCGCAGCTCTGCCAGCACAACCACCTGGGACTGCGGCGCTCTCACCTGCCAGCCAGGGGCCTGGCGAGCCTGGTTTGTGGTCAGATCGTGCAGTAGTGCCAGAAAACCTTCTGTTAAAGGATTGCTGTCCTCCTGCAGCTGCTACCACCTCGCAGATACAGCTGCCAAGCCAGGTGGATGTAAGGAGCAAGACGTGCAGTCTCATCACTATCAGAAAGACCCCAAACCAAGGGACAGCAGCTTCTCTGTCCCTCCCCGCACTCCCTCCACTCACATCTGAACCATTGCTGCCCTTTCATTGCGGGTCTTCTCCCTGACTGTTGACCGGAGCAGTTCCCCCCCGGTTTAAATCCTGCAGATTTCAACTCTCCAAACCGCAGTACTTTGGGTTTTGTTTAATCGACTTAGCAAAAGCACATTCAATCAAAGATTATCCGTCTGCTAATCCACATTAGCGGTGTGTGCACACGCACTAAATCCCTGACACAGATACAGGGGTTTTCTGCAGTGTCATGGGATGCGCAGACCATTAGTGGCTTGCAGACCATACCCCGTGTTTGCATGTGACACTGCTCACTCACACGCAGGGAGTTAGAGCCAGCACAATCTATCAGCTGTACTCGGGAGCTGTCGGTTTGTAGAACAAGATGCACCGTGTCCTACCCTGCAAATACTCTGTGCAGTATTTTCACGCATGTTTGCCCTCAGCAGATGTGATTTTACCGTGGCACTGGGATAAGCTGGGAAGACAGCCTGCTGCGGGTCTGGCATTCCAGTTTGCTTTGGCCTGATGAGAATCACCCAGGTCGTGCAGGTACCTGCGACCTCTGGATGAGAGCAGGACTCGGACCGGTGAGCTCCTACCAGCTCCCCTGGTATTTGGGACTCTTTCCCTTGGACACCCTGGCTCCTGTGCCCAGGAGCTGCTCGTCTCTCAGCTTGCTTTCCCTTCCCGTCCCCTGCTGAGCTCCCCTGCCTGCCAGCACACGGCTGGACTGTTTATGTGAATTGCCTGAGGGGTGCCTGCTGGCATTTTACAAGCAACCACTTTTCCTCTACTGCTGCTGCAGTGGTTAAGTGGTTTGTTGCTATGGCCACACAACCAGGATTAGGAAGTCAAGTACAGTAGTTTCTTCATCTTAAGAGCCTGGGGTGTTACCCTGCAGCAGCGCTGGAGAGATAAAGGTATTTTCAGCGTCATGATTAGTCTTTGTGCTCCAGCCTTCCCATCCCAGTCCTTCATTGTTCAAGGGGGGGAAGGGAGAGAATTTAACTCTTCCTCCCACCACAGACACTCCTTCTCCACACAAAACAGGACTCTGCCTTTCCCTCCAGGTGGAGGATGGTGGCTGAGGTGCTGTGACATCCACCACCTGCACCAGGTTGTGTGTGAATTCAGACTGACACAGCCACGCTGAGTGACATCTCTCCAGAGATCAAACATACCGTGCTCAGGCCCCAAAAGGTGCAAGCCCCCTCAGCTAACAAGGCAACGCACTGCTCAAGCCCTCAGCTAGCAGAGCTGTTACAGTGCTATCCCACGGAGGGCAGACAGGGCAGGGACCTGAGTCTGGCTGATCTGGCAAGAGGCTGCGAGGCAACGGAGGGTAACTGTGCCAGAAGACTTGGTTTGAAAGAGAAGCTCAGTTCAGCTGTTGCCTTGACAATTCCACCCACTCTTGGCAGGGTCTCCACACTTACTTCCTCTAGCCAGCACAGAGAGGAGCACAGGAAACCCAGGTGACACCAGAGATGGAGAAGAAGGTGGAAGGTGCACACCCCACCTCCACCCAGCAGGAGCACAGCAGGTTAACCACCCTTGCATACATCTGACTTCACTGCTTTGGCCTCACAAACGATTCCCTTCTCCCATCCCCTTGGTTTCAGGCCTTGCAGTGGCGTCCTCTTTTATCTTCTATTTCCTCTCATGCACTTTTTTTTTTTTCCAGCTCAGCCTTTCATGCTGCCTTGCTCATAAAAGTCAACATGGGCTGGGGATGTACTGATGCACCTTCGCTGTGCTGAAGCAAAGGCTTTGTGTCATGACAGAAGCTGGCATAAAGGTCAGAAAGAAACGCTTAGAGTGGAATTCACAGAACATTTACTTCTTACAATGAGGGAACTGCAGCTTCTTCTCAAGAGTTACTTATTGGGCACAGTGAAAAGCCATCCCCTGGGACCCTGGCTTTGGAAGTAACAAGCTTCCCCACCATGAGCCCTGGGGACGCTGGTTCCGAGCACCTGACAGCAGTGGGCACTGAACATCCAAAACCATATAGACACCTCATCCAGACACAGCCAGAGGGAAGATAATTGCTGGCTTTATCAGCTCTGAGCCCCAGGAACACAAATCCCAGGGGCTGTGCTCATCCCCCCCCTTCCTGCGGAGCTGTTCTGCCTACTCTGATTCTTCTTTCTTTTCAGAGAGCAGAGTGCAGCTGAAGCATTATGAGCAGCTTCTGCCACAGCACTGCTGCAGGCTTGCTACCAGGCACTTCACACAGCTTGCAATGTCTTGGGAACGGCTCGAGACCACACGCAGGAACAGTGGCATTGCTGTTAGGAACAAGAGCAGACCCCAAAACAAGCTGCTTCCTCTCTGGGATTTTGCTTCCTTCTTGGGAGACTTGTTTCAGAGTATATAGAGGTGGGCTCCAGCAACAACTGGAAAACATCCCACTGATCTCTTTCCCTGGGGAGAACAGGCACTGTCATTTATGAAAACTGTCACAATGATTCTTTTCTGGAATCAAGAAGCTTTTTAAGAAGTCTTACAAATGTTCAGTGCCTTACTTGTTTGTCACTGTTTTGCATGTGATGAGAATGTACTAAAATTTGGCTGGTGGCTGTTCTGAAGGGAATCACTAGAAAAAGACTCATCAGAAAACCTGCAGAGACAACACAAGCTTTTGATGCCATTAACAGCAACCTCTTATCTAAGAGCCTCTTTATCCCCCTGTCGGTCTCAGCACATGGTGTTTGCTCCACAGGCTCTGCTCTTTCTTCCCTAGCTTAGCTCACCACTCTACTTTGCCCTGCCACAGCATCAGGCTTCAGAAGAGTGCCAGAACACCCTTTGTTATGGCATGAGATTAAGCCCAGGGTCCCCACCTCCCAGCTGCAAAACGCAGCCTTGCAGGAGGAACCCTTTGGGCTGGCACAGCACCTGCAGCTTGCTCCCAGTAGATCCTAACCTCTGCTTCCACCAACACCCAGATTTTCACCCCACAATGTCAGAAACGTCAGCAGAGGGAAAAGGGGACTGGACAGGTGCAGAGCGAGGTCTGCCTGGGTTGAAATGTTTCCTTCCAACCACTGTAAATCCCTGTGGGGGCATTTGACAGAGTGCTGTGAGATCCAAGCATGCAGGATGCCAAGAAGCCAGACCTTGTGGAGTAGAGGCATGCACCGAGGACAGGCAGAACAAACACCCAGCTGTTATTGGCAGCTCCTCACTCCTCTAAGTGGGCTGAGGCAGGAGTTGGTGTTTAGTGGCAAGCATTTCCCACATGGGTGGGTTAGTGAGGAACAGGCCTGCTTGTAGGTACAAACCCACGTGCTCTGTGGTTCTGAGCTACACAGAGGCAGCCCAGCACTTTATCCAACTCTCCTTTTGCTGAGAAACGCTCTGCTTCATCCCATCTCACCTGGATCTGGGCACCTCCAGCGGGCTGCTTCCAATCCTCAGGAAGTTATCAGAATGCGTTGAGGAGGAGGAGCTGGAGGACTTCACCTCGACCATCCCCGCCGAAGGCAGCCTGTCCTCAGCCTGCTGCGCCCTGCTCCAGAGCACAGCTTGCGGCGATGATGCACAGCTCTTCCTCCTGTGGGATGGAGAACCTGGGTGAGAAAGCTGGCTCTCTCACATTCTCCAGCTAGGAACTCTTGCCACAACAGACCAGATTTTACCCCAGCAGCTAAAAACTCTTGCTCGCCCTGAGCCCGCCTCCCCCCCTTCCCAAGGAACAGTGAGTCACAGGCAACGGCTGAGGGATGGGGGCACGCCGAGCTCAACACATCTTAGCCCATTCTTTTATAGATCACCATCCACGTGACCTGGAAATCAGAGACAGGAGAATGCATCAGCCCACACACATACAGCGAGTGCTTTGTTTAGTCTAGCTGTAAAAACGCCTCAAGCAAGGGGCCTCCCAGCAGGGAAAGACCATTTCAATCTGCTTCAAACTCTGCAGAGTGTACCAGCCGAGGAGCCCGGCCCAGGTGGGCGTTTTTGTGTACTGATGAGGGTGGCGAGCACACAACACCAGTGTTGTTTTCCCTTTTAGCGATTTCCTTTAGACACCACTGCACTGACCACACGCTCGGAACTGACAATCTCTCTGGTGCATTTCAGTCCTCTTCCTGTCTGTGCTGACAGCCCAGAACTGCTCTGGCTCCTTTTCTAGCCAGTGCATTCTGACCCGTGCACAATTCACTGTCCATTGCTGCACCAGGTCTCAGCTCACTTTACTGTCCAGGTACATGCCGAACAAGCACACACGTTTGGAACTAATCCACGTTGCTGCTGCTCCACATTTGGGAGGTTCTACTTTCTTATATGTTTTTTTTCCCCCCTGGAAAAGTCCCAAGATTTTTTCCCCTTCTGATGTCACAGTGAAACGGGTAAAGATATTGTTGTATACACAAGTAAGTAGGGAAAAAAAAGGCAAATTAATGCAAAGAGAAGATGCTGTTCTTCCTGAAAAGGGCCCCTTAACTTTGACTGAGATCAAGAACTGTCAGCAAGTGCAGCTAAAGACAGGCTCACTGTACAGTGGGAAGCATGATACCTCCCTTCACTTCTTGAAGTGTGTCCACCCTCAAATATCACACCACAGCCTCTCTCAAGCATTATTCATCTCATGTTATCATAGCTGCCAACATCTCCAAGAACAGCCCGCAGAGACAGGCTCGTACAGCTAACAAACAAAATGCCTCTCCATGCAAGGAGACCTTGAGCCCACTTGTGTTCAGGGCAACACAAAGAAACCTCCTCTCCTCTTCCCCTCTTATGCTAGGCACAGCCCAGCTCTCTGTCGATCACCATGCTTACAGCAAGCTCTACCTGTTCTCCAGACTACACAGCCACAACAAGCTGCAGGAGGACGTCCGTGCCCAGTTCCCTCACTAAACACTTGTGGCAAGGCTCACAACCTTCCCCTCCCTGTGCTCATGTCCACAGCACGGGCCCAAACCACCAGTGTGGTACTGGCAGCCAGCCCCAGCACAACCTGATGGCTCCTACTGGAGCAAAAACAAACTAGAATTAGAACACACATCACCAAAGTAAGCCCTGATACGTTCAAGTGCAGCAAATGTCTTGCAGCATGCTCTGACCACCTCATATCCTGAGACCACGTGTAGGGTTTGAGCTGTGGGATCTAGTCTGGGCTGCAGGATCTAGTCTGCATGTCCTGAGCACTCCGGAGCAGTGTCAATGCTTCCAGTTTCCTACCCTGTAGCCAGACAAGTGGAAAGTTGTTCCCTATTTCCTGCACTCACTGTGCTGCAGACAGGTATACTCTGTGTGTTAAGGAGGACTCTGCGATGGACACTTGGCAAATGCAGTTTGGGGGTCCCTTTCACCGTTTTGGGGATTCTTCATTAAGATTACCTCTTCCCCTCTTCAGTGTTTTATAAATCGACTCTCAAAGCGCTTTAGAAAGGCTGCTGCCACTAGCATGGCTGCAGGCTCGGTCCCAGAGGACTTCCAGCTGCCTCCAGCACAACCCAGATTTAATTTAAAATAATTGCAATATAAAATAGCATCTTCACATGTGCTGAGGGAGAGGAGAGAAAAATTAAACTGAGAGGGGCAACCCTACGGAAAGATTCTGGAATCCCCAAACAGCACCAGAAACCCCACAAGCAATCATGCCTGTCCCAGAGCACTCACCCTACACCTTCCCCAGTCCCCACTCACAGACAGCCACCAGCACCCCCAGGCATCTCCTACGTGACCCTCTACCAACAGGGAGCACTGAGAATTTCATGTTCTCCCCCCGAAGTATCATCCCACAGCAGCACTGCAGACAGCACCCTGCTCCCACTCACACACCTCACGTTAGAGGGGCTTAAGTATAGGGGAGATTCTTGGCCACCCAGTCCACCTGCCGCTAACTCAGGCAGTACCCTCCTTTAACCTCTTCTGTAAACTAAATTTCATTTTAAGGGCAACGAAGCTTTCTGCCTCCTCTTTTCCCTGGGGAGGCTGCTGCCAAATGCCATTCCTCCTGTAGTTCAGAGCGAGCTTTTAAAAGTAATGAAATCCTTTCTGGATTAAATGTAACAGCGAAGGGTGGGGGGGGGGGGAAAGAAAGCAAACTTGAGGAACACCCTTGCAGAAGCCTAACATGGTCACTAACATGGGGTGGTCTCCAATTCTTGGCGCAGAAGAACTGAGAACAAGTTGTGGCAAAGCCTCTGACAGCCAAATTCCTCCCCCCACTGTAGAGAATCCATGCTGCAGAGAGCAGACCTGGGTGGTGAGAGATATCAGAGGCATCTTTTCTACAGTGCTCAGCGCCTGCCCCTCTTGTTCTGCAGCCCACTGAGCGATCATCTCCTCACCATGCTGCCTGGGCCTGTGCTCCTGCTGGCATCAGCTCCACGGCCTCGTAGGTGAAGCTCCCGGCTGCTCCGGGGGAGCTCTCCATCCCCAGGGAGAAGTCGCTGCTCAGGCTCGTGGTGCTGCCTCGGTCTCTCTGCTCTAGAAAGAAGAAAACAGCTGCTTGAAGACCAGCCAGGTCTCGCTGACTCTCTCCCCCCTTCAAGCAATACCCTTTCTATTTGCCCTAGAGCCTCGTGCTTGCGAGGCCCCAAGGGAAGCACTCCCCTGTGCAATCCCCTTGGTGCTGGGAACCCAAGCCCTGAGCGCCCAACCATTACCAGCACCCCAGGGTGCTGATGCTCAGCGGTGGCACTCACTGAGCATGCAGATCTCCTCCAGGGTGAAGCCAGGTGACAAGCTCTTCCTCCTGGGGGAAGAAAAGACAGGGTTACCTCGGGCAATCTCCAGCGCTGCGGGGAGGCTGGCCACAGCCAGGTCCCTGCGCAGCGAGTCGGAGCAGCGGGAAGTGCAGGGACAGAGGGGAGGGGATGGGGCCGGTGGGAGCTCTCTGAACAGCCCCAACCCACAAACTCTGTGTTCTGACAGGCTGCAGGCAGTCACTTGATACCTCGGAGCCCGCAGCCTCCTCCAGGGTGGGCTATGTTCCCCTCTGCCCCTCTTAAACTAGGGGGTTAACCTTTAGCAGTCCTGCTTCAGCCAGAGCCCACATCTCTGGGCTCGTCCGTGCTAAAGCAGCCATGGATAATCATTAAGCAGAGAGCACGTTTCAGCATGGACAGGTTTTCAGAGCACATCGTGGCACCTCACAAGCCTCGGCCCCATTTTGCAGCCTTCAGAGTGCAGAATAAATTAAAGAAATCTGGGCCAGGACACCAGGGCCTCCAGCTCCCCAAAGGAACGGCACTAACAAGCTCCCTGGCTCTGCAGCCCATGCAGCAGCAAGCAGAGGCTCCTTACCTCTGTGACTTCACAGCAGAGAACTCCTCAGAGGTGATGTGCTTCAGAAAATTGAAGCAGAAAAAGAAAATCTGAGCAAAGGGAGAGAGAAGAGCTGTTCAGGAATGAACCCAAGGCTTCGTGCAGCCTCTTATCTTGGTGGGGAGGTGCTGGCAGGAAGGAGATAGCCAGAAATCTGCAGCTACCAGACTCCAGGTGCCACAGGCTGCCACCATCCCATCCCTGCCCTTCTCTTGCTTGTAAAACCGACCCTCTGTTCCCTGCCACAGAAACGAAGGTGCGTGACAGGTCTCCTTATCGACACCTTGCACGCACACCACAAGCACACAGCACATGCCACCAACACAGAACAGAGCAGCCCCGGGCCCAGCAGCTGTTTGTACATCCAGGTAAGCAGCAAACCCAGCTGACGACTGGGGTGAATGATACTCATACGGGGTCCTGAACCCCTGAAAGGTGGAAAACAGGCCAGAGCTCCAGTTCTGCTTTCTCCAAGGGGTGTGACACTGTTCAGAGGCAGGGATTCCCTAATGAGGCTAGAGTCTGAGGAGCAGGGGATTAGCTATAGGGTTAGACACCCTTCCCACCTCTTGATCTCTATCCAAAAATGACATTGCAATGTACTGCAACTACAGTCAGAGCAATCATTGTTTTGTTGTTTTTTTTTTTTGCTTTGATTTGAACAGAATTAACCCACTAATCTTAACTGCCTCCCAGACCCATCTGGGCACTGCCAGACACACACCCTAGAACCAGCACAAGCGGCCCCACCAGCCTGTAGCAGCACACAAGCCACGTGCAGCTGCAGCCCCCATACAGCAGAGCTGGCACACAGGACAAAGCTGTGTAGTCTCGTGTGCTTATTTCCAAGCTCCCAGGAGTCACACACCTTCAGGCTCTCTCTTCCTTGCTGAGCTGAACAGCAAACCCTAGCAGCCTTTCACCAGGGGCCAATAATGGCACTGTGGGGAAGCAGCAGGACTGACACCCACCAACCAAACCACCAGAAAAGCAGTCTCACACCTTATGGAGAAGGAAGTGACAGGGCAAGGCTCCCACCTCACATCTGCAGCACCTGAACAACCCTTTTAGAGCCCATCCGAACCAGTGATA